GGCGGGGCTGGCTGGCATGTGGTGCTGGGGATTGAACCGTGGTCCCTGTGCTTTTGCTTAGCTTGTTCTAAGTAGATGCTTTAGACCACTGAGCCATCTCACCAGCCCAACTTTCCTCCTTTAACTTTGGGTGTTGGGAATTTTGTCTCAGCAATGAGAAAAGTAACTAAAACATGCTGTGACCCTTCTGCTTGGCTCCCAATGCTGGAGGCCATACTGTGAACCTAAACAGGTCCCAGGGCTGGGCCGGCCTCCCCTTAGGACACAGGCACAGGGTCCTGCACCTGGAGGCTCCCATCTACCAGCTAGGGCCAGGCTGAGCCAGAGCTTGCAGATGGGAAGCCTGCCTCAATTTCCCCATCTGGGACAAACCTTTGAGGAAGTCATCATATAAATGGGTGTTGTGCTTACAGCTCCACAGATAGCTGAGTGGCTGGTTCTCCCCTCCTCCCCCGCAGACTGGATTTGGCAGAGGTTAGGACCTGACCTTTGGCCACACACCAGCCCCCTGGACCCCTGCCTGTTTCCTCATCAACATGAGCAGACTGATGTGTGGGGCCTGGCCTGGGAGGAAGTGTGGGCCTCACAGCCCACTACTGTCCTTGAGCTAGGACAGTTGCCCTGTGCCCCAGCTCTAGCCCCCTTCCCTCCACAGCCCAGTCTCAGGAGGCACAGCAAAGAGCACAACACACAGAAGAACTAGAAGTGGCCTCCCAGGTTGTGGGGTCAGAGCTCCACGCAGCCCCATGCAGTTGAATTAACCATGTCCAGTGGGGTCTCCTGAAATTCTCATTTCCTGCCACACCTGTGCGTGTGGCAGCCCCTTCATGCCCTGTTCTCATCCTGGCTACCAATGAGTGACACTGCTCCCAACAACAGCCACCTTGAGGCCACAAGAGTAGGACCCATGGATCAGAACCACTGAGCTGTTATGGTTTAGCTCTAAAATATCCCCAAAGGGATGGAAGGGTGGGCCACTTGAGTATGACCTGTAAGGGTGTCTCACCCTGGCGCTCCCTGCTCTCTGCTTCCTGGCCTCCATGTGGTGAGCAACTTTCCTTGGGATGCCATTCTGCCACCATTTCTGCCCTGGACCCAGCCAACCATGGACTGAATCCCCTGAAACCATGAGCCAAATAAACCTCTCCTTAGGCTGTGGGTGTTGAATGTTGTGGCCCTACGATGGGGAGGTGAAGGACAGAATTGGACAGCATCCCACCACAGCCCACCTTACGGTACTGCTTCACTGCATGTGGGTTAAGTGGCTGGGGCCCACAGGCTGTCACCAGGAATCAGGGAACAGAAGCCCAGTCTGGAGAGCTACACCCTACCAGGCCCTCTGATTCCAGCTACTAGGCCTGTGGAGATGGCTGTGGCCATTCCTAGGGCCCCAGGCTCCTGAGGCAGCAGCAGGGGTCCCTGTTCCTAGGGACTGCTCCTATGCCCTGGACACATATGGGGTCCCTCAGAACTCTGTAAATTGTCAGATTCTCTCTCAAAGTCCCTACCTAAAGTCCAGCATGGTGAGCCCACCCACAAGGCAGCTAGGGCTCTTATAGCTGTAGCAGGAAGGCAGAGGGAGCTAGTGGCTCAGGGCAGCTTGTGGCTCACATGGCTTGGCTCCCCTCCCTCCTTCACTTCCACTAACCCCACAGTGCCATCCTGAGGATGACCAGCCTTGGGTTCCCATAAAGACAGGCAAGCTTGGTAGGAGCTAGACTTCTAGGCAGGGGCAGTATGGCTGCCTCCATGGCCACAGCACCAGATCCTGTGGCCGGGATGTCCTGTAGGGACCTTGTGGCGCCCAACCTTTCCCAGAAGCCTTGCCAGGTAGGAGCCAGAGGAGGACTGCCCATGACTGTGCCTGTCCCTACCCATCCAGGCCTGGCCCCCTTGGGACCTCACGATGGCAGCACTGGGAGGCTGCGTGGGGCCAACGAGCCTCTGGCCAGTTCCTCCTTTAACCAGGCCACTTGGCTTCCTGTAGGCACCTGCCTATTCCCTGGCTCACCACCCAGATGTCAGTGTCCCACAGAAGGATCTCATGCTACCAGACCCAAGTGTCCCACGCAGGCTTGATGCAGAATAGCAGGATGCCTACTGAGGTCTCAGGCCCTGAGCATCTGACAGCACAGCAGGCTATGGATCTGAGGGTGGTGAGAGGTGTGACCGTGGGGGACAGGAACCCAAGGCATGCCCTGGGCACGAGGGCACCTTCCCACAGGACTCTGGGAAGGCTGTCCTCTCATACAAGCTTCCTGGCCTGCATGGGGGATGGCTGCCAGGCTGCCCATCACCACCATGCTAATGCCGACAGTGCTGGCCACATGCAGGCCCAGGGCAGCAGTCGCCCCAGCCAAGCGTACACACTGGTCCATGTGGAGCAGGGTACCATAGGTCAAGGGTGTGGGGCTGCCTTGACTGAGGCAGGGATGGCATCAGCCACCTGAACGTCTGGCGAGTGGCTGTCCTCAACACACCTGGGCTTCACAAGGACAACTTTAGAAAGTATGCAGTCAGGGCTGACCTACCTGTGACTCAACCACAGGAACCTACCTGTGACTCAACCACAGGAAGCAGGCAGTCTCGCTCAGTGTGTGGAAGCAGGCAGTCTCGCTCAGTGTGTGTGCAAACACCAAGCGCCAAGGCAAGACCAACTGCCTTGCCAGACCACGGTAGGTGTGCCCGGTCTCATGCCCAGCATCCTGTGACCACGCAGCTTTGCAGCCAGAGACAAGGCTCTGAGACCTCCCCAGCTCTGTGTCCATGTGGTGGCAGGCCAGGGCAGGGATGGACACAGCACCACCCACCAAGAGGCTGTATAGGGAGGCCAGGTGCGGAGTGTGAGCTCACACATATGCACATGCCTTCAGCGCTCTGGTGTGGCATGCAGGCTGACAGAAGGCATGGGACATGCACCCTGGATTTTGTCCCCAAGACACCTCAAAGCTTGCCCTCACCTTGCTGGGCTCTTCTGACCCAGGGTCCCCACAGGCCATACCAGATCATCCCAACCCTCCTCAGGCTCCAACCCCAGAGCAGCCAAGCAGGGGAGTCAGTGGCAAGGACTGCTCCCGTGAACCTCCCGCCAGGAGCCAGGTGCAGGAGGGCACTTGTTAGTGTGTGAAGTCCCCACAGACCGTCTAAGCACCGACTGCCAGGGAACATGGGGCTTGTCTTTAGAGGGACCGAATGTTCTGGAACATGACAGAGGTAGTGGCTTCACAACTGTGAAGACCCCCAACACCACTTGACAGTGCACCTTAGAGCAGTCAATGCCAAGTTTTATGTTGTGTACTTTACAAAACTAAAATTAAAAAGGTTTTTTTGGGGGGGACACAGAGGTTTGAACTCAGGTCTTCACACTGAGCTACATCCCAAACCCTTCTGAGACAAGTTCTTACTAAGTCAGTAGGTTACCCAGGCAGGGCTTGAACTTGTAATTGTCCTATGTTAGGCTCCCAAAAGGGAGAGGGCTACAGGCATGCAACCTAGCGTGTCTGGCTAAAGGTAGAACGAGGCCTTAGGCTCCGGTCCTTTCTTCCATCCTCACCATGTCCTCTACTCCTGGCAGGGGTTCAACAGATATGGTGTGACCCTCCCGGCGGGAGCACAGGACGCTGCTCCCAGGGGAAGCCTGTGCCCCCACATGGCACGCAGCACATAGAGGCTATCTGCTGAGTGTGGAGAACTGAGTGGCAGTGGCTCCCGTCCTTGGAGTGCAGCTCCAGTACTGCCTCTCCCACACCCTTGCTGGGGTGCCGGCCCAGGGATGGGTGTACCACGCAGGGCCAGGGAGCACCTGGGGCTGGGGTCTTGCCTCCTGGGCCGTGAGGACTCAGCTCTCCTAGAGTGCAAGCCTGGCTTCACCTGACTCAATCACACAGCTCTCAGCTCCTTCACCGATGTCCAGAGGAACCTTCACAAGGATCCTGAGAGTTCAGCCACCTCTCGCCCGCCACACGCTGCCCGCAGGTCCCTCCATAACAGCCTCCACCTGGGTCCAAGTGTCCATTCTCTCCTAGCCCCACGTGGCAGTTCTTCACGCCCATGTTCCCAGCATGAAGGAGGCCTGTGGGACACACAGCAGGGCAGGACAATCACATGCTCGCCAGCTCAGAGTCTCTACTTTATTGGCGTCTGTGTCGAGGAATCTGTGGTTCACACAGGCATCCAACAAACACATCTAGGTACAGATACTTCGCCGTGCTTGATGCTGATCCACGGCCACTGCTGCCTGTCTTCCAGTGCAACACCTCCCTCCTGAGCATGACATACACGGATGCAGGCTGCCCCCTGGCCTGGCCTCAGCTCCCGAGCAGCCCTCCATGCCTGTGGCCCATACTGGTGTGGAGGGGCCGAGCTGGCTGAAGCTGGGGCCACACAGAGCTGCACAGCTGGTTGCAGGTTGCAATGCTGAGCTCTCTGCTCATGGACGGCTGCAGTAGTGACGCTGGGTCTCTGTGTGACCAACACGAGGCACGATGGTACAGATAGGCCACCACTCCCTGGGCCAACCTGCAGGCCAAAGGGGACAAGTATAAGTTCTTTCAGGACAGACTGTACAAACAAACCAAACTACAAAACAAAAGAAACCTAAGACTACCTGTAAGTTAGTTCTTTGTAGGGGCTGCTGGTTCTGGAGACTGAAGGAATTCATAAGGGTCATGGGTCACATCCTGCTGCTCCCCAACACTAAGGCGAGAAGGGCTTCCTGTAAATTGTAGAACAACATGGCATTTTAACAGACAACACAGATTTGTAATGCCTGGAAAGCCAGCAAAGTCTCTGTGACCACTGGAGGTGAGCAGTGTGACCGTGGGGGACAGGAACCCAGGGCATGCCCTGGGCACAGAGAGCACCTTCCCACAGGACTCTGGGAAGGCTGTTCTCTGATACAAGCTTCCTGGCCTGCATGGAGGATGGCTGTCAGGCTGCCCACCAACACTGTGCTGTGACGCTGAGAGCGCTGGCCACACGCAGGCCCAGGGCAGCAGCTGCTCCAGCCAAGCGTACACACTGGTCCATGTGGAACACAGCACCACAGGTCAAGGGTGTGGGGCTGCCTTGACTGAGGCAGGGCTGGCATCAGCCACCTGAACGTCTGGCGAGTGGCTGTCCTCAACACACCTGGGCTTCACAAGGACAACTTTTGCAAGTATGCAGTCAGGGCTGACCTACCTGCGACTCAACCACAGAAAGCAGGCAGTCTCGCTCAGTGTGTGTGCAAACACCAAGCGCCAAGACAAGACCAACTGCCTTGCCAGACCACGGTAGGTGTGCCCGGGGACCCACGGCCGCCCAGGACCTACTGTAGGCACTGCCTGGCTGACAGCCTCACCATGAAGTGAAAGGGGCCCAGACTGTACTGGTCCTCCTCAGAGGGCTGCAGCCAAACTTCTGGGCTGCCTCCTCCTCAGAAAAATGTCAAAACTCATTCTGCCGATGGGGTAGTTCAGTACATATGGAAGCAAAAAAAGAATAGTACCAGGGCTGAGGGAGGTAGCTCAGGGGCAGAGCACTTGCCTAGCTGGCATGAGGCCCAGGGCTCTCTCCCTAGCACCACAGAGAGAACTGAAACACATTTAAAGGACCCTCAGGGCCAGTATCTGGTGTCCCTCTCTCCTTGAACATGAGATCCCTGGCAGGTACAGCCACAAGGTCTCTCCAATAGAAACCCTGAAAGTGAGGGACCACCAAGAACATAGCACTGGCTGACACAAGAGTGAAACTGGGAGGGGCTGCGGAGCTGGGTCAGCTGGAGTGACAAAGGCACCCTGCGGCCTGACCCAGCCCACCTTGGCAGCACTTGCATCTCCCTGCTCTGGGTCTGCACTAACCGAGGAGCCTGGGTGCTCACAGGACACGATGGCACAAACATGGCTGCCTGAGGCTGTGCAAAGATCTTGTGTCAGAGCCACGCTCAGCCCTGGGCCACATGCCAGCCTTTGTCCACATCACCTGCCACCGCCCATGCAGAGAGAGGCCTACCTGAGGGGTGCTGCTCCCTCTCAGAAGCATTGGACAGGGAGCTGAGGTTGGAGGACGGTCGGGAGCCACCTCGTTCTGCCTGAGCTTCATGCAGGTCCTGTAGGAGCTTCGCTGTCTCATCCAGGTTTAAGTGGCCATCATCATGGTCCAGCTCCTTCTTCACCTTCCCTGTGTGAACAGAGATGAGTGGAAGGCCTGGGCCACAGGGCCATGGTGCACTGGACGCTGGCCCTCTGCCCAAGACCACCACATCTTATGAGGTCAACGCTACAGGACCTTGGCACAGGGTGTTCAGCCTGAGGACAGCAGTAGTCAGGGCAGTGGCCTGGGGAGCAGGGCCCAGCACACTCACATGAGCAGAGCCACATGGAATCCCAGCCTCATGACGCACAAACACTGCAGGGGAGGCCCTGGCCATAACACTGACCTCCCAACAGAGAACATTACTAGAGTGCAACAGTGGTCACCCCAGCTCATGACCAGTTTCTGTGACCTGGCAGCTTTGCTGAAGGTCAGAAAACATGGAGGAATGCAGGACCAGTGCCCTCCCCAGCCCTAAGATAAGCCCCTATAGACCCCGCCTCAATCCAGCCTGCTTCCTGTCAGCCTCCACCCGGCCTCCCCAATCATCTCACAGCTGATGGTTTTTTCTGTGTCTCATGAACTCAAGGAACCAATACACCACAGCTACAGGAATGGCAGGGGGCATCCACATGAGAAACCACACAGGAAGCGATCAGGACTCACCCAGAGAGCTAAGCATGGAGATGTCCAGGGAGACGTCAGAATACGACTTCATCGACATGAAATCCAGAACAGAGCCACTGCTGTCTCCCAGAGAGTCCCCAATCTGCAGAAGGCCATCATCAAGCTTAAGTGATACCAAAATAAACATGATACAAAAAATCCTACTTCATGCCACTGACAGCAGTCACTGCATTCTGCAGAGGGACAGATGGAGGGAGGCCTCACCTCTGGAACTCCAGTCCAGGGCAGGGGCTCAGCTCATGAATGGACGTGTGATGTGCCTCTGAAAGAAGCTACTCAGAGCAGCATAGCAGTGCTAACCATGCTGACAGAGGAAGGCCTTTGCTACCCTTGTGGAACAGGGGCACCATCCTGCCTGGTAAGACACAGAACCTCAAGGCCCATGGCATTTTCCAGGCATGAGGTGGTGAATTCCAAGCCTAAGGCCCCTTTCCCTCCTCAGCAAGGGGCACCTGGAAGGGCGCTGCAGCCATCTGGACTCACTCTTGCCACTTTCCTACTGTCCATCTGCCCTTAAGCTATCCATGCCAAAGCCTGTGTCTCCAAGTGCCCGGGGACCTAAACCAGTTCTAAGCCTGCTAGGGGCACACACAGCACTGCCAGGCAGGCTCGGCTGCATACCACACGGGCACAGCAGCCTCTAATCTCTGACAGTGCCTGTGGAATTTGTGCTTTAAAATTCGTTTCTGGACTTGGGAGTGTTGTAGCCCCACACCTGCCCCCATATCATTCCTCAGACATGAGCTGTCCACAGTGGATGACAGAAGGCTGCTAGCCGCATCACTACCAGGGCTGCCCTGGCCTCACCACACACAAATCCCATTTGGCTCTTTGCTTATTCCAGAACCCACCTTCACTTCGTCCACAGCTCGCACGGGCACGTTCCTCCGCTGCAAAGAATAAGGTAGACACCAGTTTTCCAGAGCAATTCTACACAAAGAGCAGTCTGTCTCTCTGGGCCCTGCTCATCACAGCCTTGCTATGCCATGGCCAGGGGGGTCCTGCCAGGCCCTGTGCCAGAGGGCATAGGGTGGGGGGGATGAGGAGAGGGTATAAGGGCAGGTGGGTTCCCAAGGCTGCAGCAGCTAAGGGTTTTTAAAACAAAAATGCAAAACTCAGGAAAAACAGGGCCAATTGTTTAAACTCAGGCTTGACAAAGTGCAGAGACTGTGGGAGTGCTGTTGAGACAGGTGACAGGTATGCCGGGTAGCCAGACCCCTGGCAACATGTGCACAGGCGGATAGGCGGTGCGTCCTCCAGTGCCTTCATCCTGTTTTGTTTTTAAGTTAGAATGTTATATTTATTTTAACACTCCTGAATTTGGGGTGGAAAGGTAAAACAAATACACACTTTACATCAAAGACACAGCTTTTCTAAAGATTATGTCGTAGAAAAGATAAAGAATGGCACATAGGGGAACAGGCCCAGTTTACTTAAGAAACTTCCATATTTGTACCTTATATAAGTATAGTAATTTCCAAAGAATTTGTCAACAATTTTTTTCTATTTCTAGTCATTTAAAGTAGACACAGAGGGCCGGCTGGATAGCTCAGCGGATGCACAGGGACTGGGATTCGATCCCTGGCGTGTGGTGCTGGCCCCGCCCCGAGGGCCCACCGAGACAGGGAATGAGACTGGGCATGGTGGCGTGCCCCTGTAATCCTACGCTTGGGAGGATGAAACGGAGGATCACGAGTCCGATCTATGGACCCTGTACTAAATACATAAAAAAATGAATAAAGTAGACACAGATTTGCTTCCCATAAAGAACATACAGAAGGTGAGCACAATAAATCAAGCCCAGCCATCCAGAGTAATCAAGGTAAAAGATACTGAACAGATGCCTTTGTCAGAAGGCGGACCACCCAGGGGACTACCTTGAGTCCTTATGGAAAAACAACAACAGCTTAGTTTACTAACTCAGTGAAATTTGTAATTGTACTTTGTTTTCTCCTTATTACTTAGGAAAAATCTATATAGTTAAGTGGTTTGTATAGACAATCTGCAGCCATCAAAATAATGTTCTACAGCAGTGTAGTTATAAGACCATGATATTTGTTTTGGGCAAATCCCTTAACGTAATAACTTGTTTATTTTGAGACACTAGTTCAGGCTGCCCATGAACTCACATGTAGCTCAGGCTGGTCTCAAACTCACAATAATCTTTCTGCCTTAGCCTCGCAAGTGCTGGGATCACACAAATACACTACCACGCCCACCAATACAGTGATTTTAATGTCAATATTATTCATTCTTTGAAATACAGTGTTCTGACTGAATTAAAATTACTTTTTAAATACTATATACATGGTGACTAGTATATCAAAATTACTTACACTATATCCAATATCCCCCAAAAATGTACTACTGAGTTTTTACAGTAGATATTAATCTACCATGCTTACTAGTCAATCCCATGGGTATAACTACAGGTCAGCATGACTTCAGTGTGTATTCTTTCACTTTACTAATCACGAACACGGCACATACACAATGAACAAGTGGTGCAGCCTCCCCACAATCACAGTAGCTCTTCAAGCTAGTTGCCACAGGCTCAGACACAATTCCCCAACACGCTGGCAAAACCGGAGCCAATTCTTCACCAACAAGTGCTGGTGGAGGCTGTCAATGCCATCCAATGTAGCTCCCAATCTGATGGCTAGTGGATGAGACAGCAAGAGATGGAAGAAAATCCTTCGGAAATTTTGAGAAAATGTCTGTTTCTTTGTAACACTCACGTTTCTTAGGCTGAGCATAGCTGCGCCCTTCGCCCTTTGGGTACTTAAAGAGAAAGTCCTTGGGCACATTTTCTGGCCGACTTGACCAGCTCCATATCCAAGCTGAGCGTCCTTCAACATGCTTTCCATTTTTTTCCTTCTCTCAACATACTCCCCTCGTACTGAGAGCTGCTCTTTCCTCCAGTGTTCATCTGTTTCAGAAGCTCCGTTGGTATCCCGTGGTGTCTGTGAGCCAGGCAGGCTGTCACTCCAGCTACTAGAGCCACTCCATCTGGATTCATGCTGGGCACCTTGCAGTACTGTTTCCACGTCACCATCATAGATAAGAACTGCTCCCATCCCATTACTGCTGACCTGTACTTCTGCCCCGGAGCCCTGCCAATTCCCCTGACAGTCTGTGCCCAGCGGTGAGAGCGCATTGGTGGTGGCGGCACAAACACAGGCAGCGGTGGGCCTGCAACTCTGCTGGCCTCGTCTTGTGTTCCAGCAGAAGTCCTCCCTTCGCAATGTCTCCATTCCGTGATGGTTCCTCACAAACAGGCATTCAGTGTGCACATCTGTATCTGTGATCTTTGTCTCAGACAAGGCTGCTCAGGAATGCTATGATTTCCACCAGCTTTTCATGACAGACGTGGACATCATTTTGAGGTCTCTTTGCTCATAAAAGGTTTCTATTGTATACTTTATCAATGTTACGGAACGCCTGGAATTATTCAACTCTAACACCAGTTCACTCACTCTCAAAAATGTAGCTAAGCTGGAGTCCACAGCTCGCTGACAGTATGACCTTGCGCCAGGGCCACGGGGCAAGGCCTCCTCCTGCTGTACGGCAGGCAAGGCGACGCTGTACACTGAACCTGGATACCCACCTGCCCAAGGACAAAGCCAGAGCAGGAGTTGAGCTCATGGCTGGGGTAGAGCCCTAGGGGGGTTCATGGCAGCAAGGGCAAGACTCAGGCCAGAAGAGCCACCATAAGTGTCATGGGCCAAGCTCTCTGAGCACCCATGTGCATAGAGGTCCACCCAGCTAGCACAGAAACCTTACAGAAAACTTCGGAAGGGACCGAAGGTTCCACTCCTAGCCCTGAGGCTGAACCGTCCTACCAAAAAGGCTACCCTAGGCCAGTTCCGCAGTGAAAAACGATGCCCAGTAACCAAGCTTTCTGTCAGAACAAATGTGAGTATCCTTCAAGACAATAAACGCCAACCAGTCTTTGACTAGTAGACGCAGCTCCAATGCTTGGTGTTTGCTCATCATGCACAAAGACCTGGGTTTGATCCCCAAGACCCAGGGGAAGAAAGAAATTCAACAGCCTTGTTTAACAGAAATACACTGTAAGTACCAATTCAAATTTTTCTAATAGCACATCAAGAACACCCTTAACATGTAATCAAAGGTAACACTTTGCTTACCCAATACCTAGAAAAACTTTTTACACTAACACATAATTTCTGTATTACAACAGTTAATATATTTCTTTGTTTTGTGTTGGTCTTTTAGGATCTCACTTGCTTTTAGTCATATCTGCGTTCCAACCTGCACCTCCAGTTCTCAGAGGCTGTGCAAGACTGGTGTCTGTCACTATACTGTGTAAACCTAAGCCCCAGCAAGGGCCTGTGTCCGATCAGAGCCATGGGGGTGCATGGGAGCAGTCAGGGACGGCCGATACCCCCAGGGCAGGTCCAGGGACGGCTTCAAAAGCAGCCGCAGTAAACACGATGAACACGTTCAAGATTAAAATGAAACACAAACAGATGTAAGAGCATGAAAAGGCAAAAAAGAACCAAACAGAATCCTAGAGATGAAAAACTCAGGAAGAGGACCACACACGATAAACACGTAACAAGTTTTTCTACCAGGTAAATTTTTAAAGCAAACTTTAAAGCTAATGTGAGAAGAGCAGCCAAAACTCATTCTCCCAAAGTTGTTCTTCCCTGGGAACCAGGCATGCGGGATGGGCTCTGTTCCAAGGAGCAAGGCCCCAGGAGGGGCCAGCAACCGCACCCTTACAGTGTCTTCCCCAGAGCCCACCTGCTTCAGCTGGAGGAGCATCCGCGAGTGGTCTCCACCTGTGATTTGGTCCAGGAGATCATCCACCATCTTTTTGCTGTAGCTCCCGGCGTCTTTCACGAACTCCTGCAGGCTGGAAGGGGATCGTAAGAGGGACAGGGTGACAAAGCAAGTCTTTAATCTGGAGGCCCTGCAGTGCCAGTGATGGCAGTCCTGACCAGCAGCCGCTGGCCATGACTCCCACATGGTGAGCTGCAGGTGACTCTTGGTGTTCCTGAGACTGTTACTGTGATCTATGACCAGAACTAGCTGAAGGCTCTGCAGGGAATTTCGAAAGCAATGGTGGGAAGTAGTATGGACACAAAATGTGCATATGATCTGTACGAACAATGACACATGCACTGTCTTGTGTAGGTGGAGGGTGCGTACACCTCCTGGTCTGGACTCTAAATCACAGACTGGGAAGATACTGAACTGAGTGCAGCAACAGGCGGAGCAGTATTGGTGCATTCATACATTTTAAGAAGTAGGCAGGGAAAAAAATCCAGTCTTAGAATCAGCGCACCAACCATGGATGAAGGGCTCCACAGACTTCAAAGACCTGGAGGACAGGGAGGAACACAGACGGCTGCTGGGCTGGGTCCAGCCAGGAAGCAGAGCTGCTAGGAAGCCAGGCCTCCACCAGGGGTATTGCAGCTATGACTGCAGAGGGCCATGCGACCCCTCCTAGGTGGGACCAAAGGTCTGCATGGGGTTTTCAGATAGGCATGAAGGCAGGAGGTCTAGTCCTTCCAGGAGTGCTGGTCAGGACACACAGGCGTTAACAGAAGGACCAGGAGACAAGAAGATGGCATCTACACACACCAAATCAAGCCTGCTGGCCCCCTAGTCTGACTTCCGGCCTCCAGGACTATGAAGCTCATCAATGCTGCTCACACCCCAGCTAGAGAACTTTGTCACAGCAGCCCTAGTCAACTCACTAAGAAACACGTTCCAATATGACTGTGAAACAAACTACTACAAGCACAGTCAGCGCAACACAGAGGCTCTTCACAGAGCTGCAGCCTGGACCATCACTACCTCAAAACCGTGACTACGTTCCAAGACAGCCTGCAGCAAGCCAGGGCGAACAGCTGGAGGTCAGCTGGAGAGCGCATGCAGTTTCCGCTGCCCTTCTTCACCTGTGGCCCAGGCTGCTTCCCCGCAGGCAGAGGTGGGCCCCAAACCACGCCCTGGGAAATGGCGGGCACCACACAGCAAAGGGGCTCAGGCAGGGCCACCTACAAGCCAGGCTCACCTCAGCGCACACTGCACGCCTGTCTCATCCCCGTAGGCCGAATACAGCAGCTCCATCTCATCCGACTTCAAGTCGCCAAACACGCAGTTATTCTGCATGGACAGGGCAGTGCTGGCACTGGACAAGAATGTGACTGAGGAGGGAGCACAAGGGGCACTGTTTCAGGCTTGGGGCACACAGAATGGCCACATGCAATTCTCTTCCTGGTTGTCAGCCTTCCTCGCCCTGACTCCATGAAGCGCCGCCGGTGCCTGTGCTACCAACGGGCACAAAACTCTCTGACAGATGCTTTGGGAACTGAGCCTACCAGGGCTGATCCTGCCCAGGGGACATGGAAGTTAACCCACTCAGCAGGAGGGAGGCCCAAGCAAGGGAGAATTTAAACACCCATAGCAACAAAGAAGAGCATTCCACAAATAATACACTCAAGCCCAGGCCATGGCTATCCCATCGAGGGTGAGATGGCATGTTTCCAGGGAACTGCCTGAGTGGGGTGACACCAGCTGACTCTCCATGGCACCCCAACACAGCACAGGCCAGGATGTGTATGAAGCAACAGACTCAAGAAAGGAAGAAGAGGGCTGGGGAGATAGCTCAGTAGAATAAGCACTTGCCTGGCAAGTGCAAGGGCCTGAGTTCAATCCCTGGTTCTGCCAAAATAGATTAAATAAAACTAAAGAAAGGAAAAAAAAAAAAAAGAAAGAAATGAGGAAGATGGGGACACAGCCTGATACACTGAAAGGGTATTCTAGAAAAACTCCAGGGACACTAAATCCACAGAAATCAAAGTGCTCACTGTGTTTCTAACACATTTCTGCACCTTAAGAGTTATAGAAGACTTCCCTGAAGCACATCTAGATCTGAGAGCCTCCAAGAGAAGGAAAAAATGTTCCTCCCATCCCAGACAGGGCCACCAAGGAGCAGCTGCCTAGTGGCCAGTCTCACAACACATGCACTGAAGTACACACTCACACCAAGCAAGCTTACCACAAGCACACACATAGGAAAACATGCACGGTCCACAGCAAGCTGAGAAAGCCATGCATGGACAAAAATACACATGTTCAAGGGCAAACAGCAGAGGGCTTGCCTGACAGCTTAGGCAGAGCACAGCAGCTGGGGTTCAATCCCCAGGGTGCCATGATGGCCCTGCCCCCGGGGCACACTGAGACCATTACTGAGACTGGGGCGGTGAGTGGTGGCGTGCACCTGTAATCCCAGCACTTGGGAGGCTAAAATAGGAGAATCACAAGTCCAGTCTACATAGTGAGACTGTGTATCTTGTCTTACATGCACACACACACACACACACACACACACACACACACACCCCTGAGACAGAAAACAGCAGAGAAGGAACTCATGGAACTGTCATTCCTACTACTTTGGTCTTAAATTTAAAGCCTGAATCTAGACATGGCCATAAAACAATGTGAGGAAACTCTTTAATAAGAGACTGATGATTTTAGCATCTGCCACGCCAGCCACATCGCACCAGCCTTTGACTCTGGGAGCCCCTCCACAAGGTCCCCACAGGTACCTTTGTTTCTCCTCTCATCTTTGAAGCCCAGTGTCGTGAAGCCTGGTAGCAGCTTACTGGAGAGTGAGCTCAGGTCCACGGGGTGCGTCTCCTCTTCTACGGGGACACAAGAGGAGTGAGGAGGTCACATGCTAGAGCATAGGGACTAGGGAGACAGAAGACAGACTCTAGAAGGACCATCTAAGAACCAGCTCACAAAGGAGAATCAGCATTCTTCACAGTACTTTCAGCAATTTCATTTTGTAAGTAACCAAAGTTGATAAAACAAAACCATGCTGCGTCTGTGGCCATCATAGTGGCAGTGTTCAGCATTTCCAAACTGCCAGCTCCACACCTCGAGGAGACCTAGTCTGCTCGTGTCCCCATCTGCACGTCTGCTGATTTCAGGCCTGTCCCGCTGTCATACCACCCATACCTAATGGACCTCAATTCCACATCCTTTAACCTGAGAGCTGTTCACCTCATCTCTTCTCTATGGAGAACACCATAGAGCATTCCTGTGAAAAGTGACAAAGCAGCAAATGGAAGGCTGGGAACATGAGGAGCCACCCATCTCGTGGTGAGACACTAGCAAAGTGGGAAGGCAGCCCTGGCAGTGCCTTCTCCTGCCCGAGGGTGCCTGTGGGAGTATCTTAAGTCTGAGAGGTGGCATGAGAAATGGTCTCAGTCTCTGCTGTGAGAAATGATGCACGAAACAATGCTTCTTCAAACCACTGACCTCCAGCAGCGTTTCCACAACCAGCAACCTGGCAGCACCTGGGTGTGGCCAGAGTTCCAGCCTTTAGCTGCAGCTGCACCAATGCCCAGTGTACCTTGACCACACACTCCATGTATGTGGGGATGCTACCAAGAGCGTGCATAGAAGAGGCTGCAGGGCTGCTCTGCTGTCCTTCCCAGCTGCATAGATGTGTTAACAGGTCTCTGACCATGAGGTCAGAGGTGGCCTGCGGTGACATTCACCTTCAGCGTCAGGCTCCGCGGCATTCACCACACTGTACAGCAGGCTCCCGTCTCCTAGCTTCTTCAGGTAGCCCATCTGTAAGAAAGACACACCATGAGCAGGTGAGCCACCCAGAGCCTCCCTCTCACATGGGCTCTGGACTGAAGCCTGCCTGCTGCACATATGTGCAGAGAGTACACTGCTTTGGACACCAGACCTTCCACATGGTACTCCTGAAACGCCATCCCATTAACTGTTCCTAAGCCCAACCAAAGAGAGCCAGGCAAGTCCAGAGTGGACAGCTCTGTATATCACTGGCTACCTTGCAGGCCGCCAAATACCCACCGCCGAGAAGACCCCAGGAAATGATGTAGCCATGTGGGCATGTGTGAGGCAGGAGGCTGGATGCGCACGTGAGGAGCAGCTGTGACATGGTGCACATGAAGCCCCAGGGAGGTGCTGTATACCCTGGAAAGGGAATCTGGATGACAGGACTTCCACCAAGCAGTGGGGTGACAAAGAGGTCAGCACGTGGCCCTGACCTTGTGTGGGATGCAGTGAGGACAGAGCACACTCCTGGAGGCCCTTGCTGAAGAAATAGGGCCAGAAACATGGAGCCAACTCAGCTCCTAGCCTGGATGACACTGTGGTGCTCCAACCAGATCCTATGGCATCATGGTGACAACTAGACTGATGGCTATGCCTGGTGACACAGACACATGAATGCTTGCAGCCAAGTGGCTACCTTGCCTCCTGGCAGGAACCTGTTGATCCTGTCTCGTGCCTCGTCAGCCGCGTGTTCCACCAGTGCCAGGACGTGCTCCTCCGCAGTGCTGTCCGTCAGGCTGCAGGCATTCCCTTCCGGCTCAAACATGCAGCTGCAAGGCAGGGACCAGACATCACTCAGGGCAGCACTGTCCTGTACCGCAGGCTGACTCCCCACACCCACATGTGGCCGGCAGCAACCTGGGGTACACCGACTGTGTGTCTTGTTCTTATCACAACAAAACAGGCTACCTTCTTGGGATGAAGAGTCAGTGCAGGTCAGCACCCTCCTAATCTCCACAGCTCACTGAACACTTTGTAACCGTGAGAACAGAAGAAGTGCTGGACACTGCCTGGTACAGGCACCAAAGGTTCCCTCAGGAGGAGCAGCAGGACTCCCCTTGTGGGTTGGGCAAGGTTCAGCAGTTGCCCCAGAATCCCCACATAGCAGTTTCACTCAAACAGCCAAAGGCTTCTGGGCACAGTGCCTGGGGAAGACACCTGCCTCCTGTGGAAGGCGGAGGGGTGGTGGACCCTCACCAGCCTGGGAGGCCTTACCCTGCGCATACTGCCTGATCAACCCAGCGGGGACACTCTGGAAATCTGCATGGTAAAAGGTGTTGTGAGCCGTGGTCCAAGGCAGGGCCATTATACAGCTGCCTATGGTGTGGATTAAATGTCAGAGGCCCAGGCTGAGATCTGGAGACGGAATCAACACTGCAGCTTTGCCACTGCCCTCAGGCACTAGACAGCGAGATTCCGTATGTCAGAAGACCAAGAGGACCAGAAGGGCCACTGTCTAGGGCCATTGGTACCCTAATAAAATGACAGTGGCAGGACAGAGCAGCAGCACATAGAACGCATCTGGTCACCGCACTGAACTATCTGCAGGCCATTCTGGGTGAAATGCCAACAGAGCCATGGACACAGTCCTCCCGATTTCCAGGCTGTGCAGCTGCTGGTCCAGGAAGGCATTCTAGGCCAGGCCTCACACGGGTCTTCCTTGCCCCCCATTCAGTAAAGCTCCCGCTCTCCTGTGCTCCATGCCTCCTACACACCTTACCTGATGACTTCTCTACTTGGCTTTTTGGATTTCTTGGCAGTTTCTACTTGCACTGGGACAACCTCAGGAACAGGCTCCTCAACGGCCGTGTCCTCGCTGCCCAAGAGAGCCGCCTGCTGAGAGAAATCCATGTCCTGCATAAACGACATGCTGCGCTTCAGAGCTAACAGCCGCTCCTAGAATCAGAAAGGAAGAGCAGCAGGACTTTACCTCTCCCTCAGCCACGGAGCCTGCCGATGGCATGGGATGGATGGCCACACCTCCCCTGCCTGACCTAGTGCCCAGGCATTGCCGTGGGCTGCTGCCGGGCTTAGTGCCAAAGGCACAGCCCAGAGCTGGAGGGGGACAGCCACAGCCCAGCACAGCGCGTAGCCTCGCCTGCAGGGGATGCATGCTCTTGGCTCACAGCAGACTGGGAGCCCCCTCAGGAAGGCCCAGAGGACAAGCATGTGCCATCTGGCTTTTAGGAGGCTGCCACAAAACAAACCCGAAGGACTGATTCTGACAAGCCTGACCCCAAGACCAAGCACTTTTCAGTCCCATGGAAGGCAGCACGTGAGCCACAGGTGGGGGCAGTGCCTGAGGAGAGGGCAGCTAGAGCAGGTCAGCCCAGGGCACGGCATGGATGGAGCATGTCATTCACATGAATCTGATGGGCACAAGAAGTTAGAACACAACTGTGGCTCTCTGGCTTGCTGTGTTAGTGGGTTTCTTACTTTGCTCATCATCTTAAAGCCTGCGTGGAGAATCTTCTTGGCTAACTTGTAGTACACAGTGTCAGGTCTATTGTAGGTCATTGCATTATCACACATCAGTTTGAAATCTGCCTGAGAAGAAACAGAAGGATTTCGTCAAGCGTGAGATGCTACACAGACAGCTACAGAGATCTCAGTTCCTGAGGCCAAAAGGGAAGGGCTGAAATTGAGTGGAAAAGAAACTTGGCTCCTTTATCTTAAAGTGACTTTTAAGAACTCAACACTTTGAAGTCGTTCACAGTTTAACTGTGTGAAAAGTTTTCCAGAGAAAGGCTGGCCAAAGCCTCTGGCTTTTGAACTTGCATTTATAAGAAGATGTGAATATCCTGAGCTTCCTTCCCCAGGAGCTCCTGCCCGCTTCAGCAGAGATCTGGACACAACAGGAACAAGAAGTAACACATCTGGCATGTCCTCTGCCTCTGAGGATTTTCCATCCAGAATTTAACATTTAGTTCACAGAAAAATACCTTCTCGAAAGTAAAGACAACCTTACTAACAATTGAAAGAAAAAATGCATCGTTTGAAAAACACTGGTACTCAATTATCACAAACTTCTCAGCAAGTGCCTGCAGCAGGTGAGCTGAGCATGGTATGGGGATACAGGGCTCACCTGCAAGTGCCCTCACCATGTCACTGTTCTGGGCCTTGAAGGGCAGGCTCGAGTCATGAAGCACAGGGCCCTCTCTAGTTCTGGACAAGTGATGGAAGGGACATTGCTCATCTTCTGGGTCTATCACTCAGTGACATGTTGGGGCCACAACTAGGAAAGGGAGAGGACCCAGAGTGAACTGCTTAACAAGCTGCTCTCACCTGACTCTCCTAAAGAGTGAGCCTTTCTCCTACTCCTGCTTAGGGCTGCCGTGTTATTCCTGAGTCAGGAATAACATGTTCATTAAACACGGCAATGTTCATTAAACATCACCACTGCACAAGATCAGAAAGGCTTTTCCAGAATCTTCAACCCAAGAAGGAACACTAATGCCCCCAATACTAATACTAACATCACCAAGCATTCCTTTTGCTTTGTACCTGGCTGCAAAGACAGTAAACAATTTTTAATGGCCTGGCCAGATCTAAGAAGCAGAGTTAAAAATAAAGCAACAAATACAAATATTCTAAAAATAGAAAATTTAAATGCCTCAATTTTACAAGACAAGCTAAATATCATGAAATTCATGCTTCTAAAAATACCCATGCTTGAGCCAGGCCAGCCAAATGGGACACAGTGACTGACCTACATCAGCACAATAACTTTAAAAACAGGAAAGGAGGAAACTCATTTGTAGAATACAGCATGCAGGTTAGCTTCTAGACAGAAACACAAAGGTTCAATCCGCATCCTGGACAGTTTGTGAACCAGCACCCAGACGCAGAGCTACCATCTGTGAGTGCTTACCACTGCAAACAGCCTGAGGCAAAGGAAATGTTTACAAACACACAAACACAGACATATACAGCTTTGTCACAACTGTTTCAGAAGATGATTTAATTTAAAATAAATTTACTTACCTTAAATTCTGTGACTGACTTGTATTCATTAGCTACGATTTTGTCTTTCATTGTGCCAAAGTCCATCGGATGTTTTATTATCATTGAATATCCGGGAGCAATTGCATCCGTCACAGGAAAAGCAAAAAATCCATGAGGGTCTTTTCTAAAAGCAAAGACAACTTTAAATTGGGAAATCCTAAAGTCTTGATTTTGAATTCACACAAAATTCCCTACAATCTACAAGTTTCAACTAGCCAAATTTTAATTTTGCTTCTTTTTAATTTAATTATTTTATTTATTTATTTTGTATTTTTAGGGAATGGTCTACAGGGTGTTCAGGGTCTCACTACTAGATCACACTTGTAGTGATCTGCCTGTTTACAGCCTCCCAAGAGCTGGGATTACAGGCATGCGCCACCACGCCTAGTCTCTAATTCTACTTCTTAAAAATAACAATAAAATGAATGCCTTCTCAGATTGCTGTAGGTGTTCTGATGTGACAAATACCCCACCACCAGTGTCTTGGCTCCAGCCCTGAAGAGCAAGGCCAAGACAACTCTGCTACGTACCTCATCCCACTGCCGCTGACCTCCAGGGCACAAGTGAGATATCCTTGGCCCTCTTGCCTGACCCCACCTGGAAGTTGTGGCTTTTCCTTCCCAGTGATTGCCCACCCCAGTGCATGGTGCTATCCACTCAAGATGAAGCCTCCGAAGAGAAAAGTGGTCACAGAGATGAAGAAGTGAGCCCTGGAGGACTTTCTCTTACATGGCCAGCACATGCAAATAATTTCTGATGACAAGAGTAAGAATCCAGCTCTAGCTTTCCTCTGGCTTATCCCCGGGATAAGGTGAGGGGTGACACCTCAGCAGAGGAAGGTGACGCCCCATAGAGCCCCCAAACATCCCTCTAAGCACCAAGTGTACCTCTGAAGCTGACGGAGGAAGTGCTCCAGGAGCTGCTGAATAGGTGTGCTCTCATTCTCCGCTGGGATATTAAAAGAAAATAAAAAAGTTAAAATTCAGCAGAAAGATTCCAGCATCACTTTGTTACAGAATTTGTTTCAATTCTTAGTTATGCTTGGCGTTGCACAGTATTGTAAGTCCAAGCAGTAACTGAGGACATAAAGCACAACCCACAACACAGTTCCAAGAAGCTCAGAGGGTGGGAAAGGCTCCACACCAGTCCCAAAGGCTCTCCAATTCCCCCAGAGAGCTGTCACTCATCCAGCTGTCATCACCATCAGACCAGGTATTTTCTAGGAAAGGTATGACAGGAACAAGACTTGGACATACTGGCTGACGCTGGATTCCCTAGTTATTCATTCACTAAAGAGATTGCTCAAGCTCTGGTTATCTCTGGTCCTCATCTGTGGCACAAGGATGGACTGATACATCACACAGGAGCTTTGGTTGCCATATTCATCTCTGGCCCACTGTCAGTCTGATAATCTCAACTGGCCAGGGTCTGCCCCAAATCACCAGGTATCACTAACTGAGCTATCCCAAAGGTTGGCGATGGATGCAGAACATCAAATGAGCAGTACCCATGCTGACTTCTCAGACAGGTCTGTCTGACTGTTGTTTCCTGAATGACCTTATTTACCAACATCCCTGGAACCACCCCGAGTGCTGTTCACCATGGCAACGATCTCCATGGGGAGAGGAAGCACTAGCAGGGGCATTCCTCCTTGTAGGTCAGCAATAGCACCTCCCATCAGCCTCCTTAAATCAGAGGGAGTCAAACCCACACTGAAAGGTAGATACTCCGAAGAGAAAAGTGGTCACAGAGATCAAGAAGTGAGCCCTGGAGGACTTTCTCTTGGATGGCCAGCACATGCAAATAATTTCTGACGGCAAGAATGAGTCCAGCTCTAGCTTTCCTCTGGCTTATGCCCGATATTCCAACCCCCAGTTGTCTTGATTTCCCTGCCTGACCCCCAACCAACAGACACTACAGAACATTAGAGGGAGACAAGGCTTGCCTTAAGCACAAAGCCTTGGCAGGGTGGACTGCACTGAGTCATGGACAACACTACCTGAAGAATCTACCCAAGTGCCATAAAAGAAGGTACTCATGAGCCAAATCTCACTGAGGACTGGGGCTTCCTCCATTCCCACCTATAGTCACTTGAAAGGACTCCAGACTCCTGCTCTAGATAGAGGCAGGACCCACAGGTCCAGGGGACGCAGGTGGCACCAGGCAATGGACTGCAGAGACATGCGTGTCTGCCCACGGGAATGGGGCATGCTCTTGCCTGGCTGCGTCCGGCATGCTCGCACTGGCCGGTCAGGGGGCGGCTCCACCTCCACCTTTTTCCCAGGGTCGAAGTCTTCAGCCTCTCCCTCTGTGTCACAGTGCTCTTTCTCTCGCTTGCGCTTCTTCTCTTCCTGCAGTCAGAGGAATGAGAGGCAGAGCAACTGGGGGGTACTTAGACTCCACAGCTGTCCTCTATTGGCCCACAGCCTCCTCTCCTGGGGACACCCCTGAGGCGCACCCACTGCGGACAGCACCCTTCTGCCTTCCCGCAGTCCCCTCCCCTTCTAGGGACCCTCCTAGAGTGCACTCACACTGCCTCTTCTCTTGGAGACCCTCCTGCGTTCCCCTGCTCCAGGATCCCCGCAGAGGGCAGCCACTGGGAAACAGACCCTGGCCAGGTGGCCGCTCTTCCCATTACCTTCCGCTTCCTCCTCTCCTCATCGTCGAGGTGCTTTTCTTTCTCGGCCTTCTTCTTCTTTTTCTTCTTCTTCTCTCGGTGCCTCTCCCGCTCGTGGTCCGACCGGTCGTCGTAGTAGCTGGAGTCGTGGCCGGACCCCGAGAGCTCAGTCACCTCGCTGCCTCCGACCTTGAGCACCAGCTTTAACGGCTTCTCCAGCGGCGCGTCCGCGTAATCTGCACACAGACGGAAACACAGCACCCTCTGGGCCGGTGCAAGACGCTAGGAGGCGTGAGTCTCCTCCCGCGCCCGCCCCTCGCCAGCGGACACACCCCGCGACCTAGCCCTCGCCTCGGACCCCGCCCTCCCCTTCGGGCCCGCTCCCGGGGGCCACACCCTCGTAGGACGAACGCCACTCGGCTTTGTGCTTCTTATGCTTCTTTCCCATGGCTGCGACGGCAGACGCGGTCTACAGACCCACGCAGGCCCGGCCGCCGGAGGACCGGCTTCAGCCCGTCGCAAACGATCGGGCGGCCGCCGAGCGCTTCCGGGTCAGGGAAGCGGTGGGCGAGCGCTTCCGGGTCAGAGGGCGGGGCGCCGCGCGCGGCAGATTCGAGCTGAGCCCGGCGGGGTGGCGCCGAGCGGAGTTGCCCGGCGGGTCTGTAAGGGCGGTGTCCGAGCTCCAGCCGGTCCCGGCGGTTCCCGGGGCGGCGGCGGCGGCGGCGGCGACATGGACGAGGCCGTGGGCGACCTGAAGCAAGCGCTGCCCAGTGTGGCAGAGGCGCCCGCGGTGCACGTGGAGGTACTGCAGCGCGGCGGCAGGTGAGCGGCGGGGGCCGGGATCCGGACCCCGGGATTCCTTCCCGGCCGAGGCCGACCGCGAGCAGAGTCAGGCGGGAGGCCCGGCGTTAGGGTTGAGCTTAGGGTTAGGAGGGTCGCTGGCCTCAAAAGTGGGATTGGAGGAGCGGAGCGGGCTGGGGGGATCTGCACTTGGGAATCGCAGGGCTGGCTTCCTGTGATCCCGCAGCTCTGGCTGACTAATGGCAGCCCGTGTCCCAATGACTAAACACTGAATGTGTGACTTCATCGTCACCTTAGCCAAAGATAGCAAAAAGCCTAGCGTCCAGGCTTTCCAGCGGGATCGCAGGGCAGCTTGTGGAGGGTGCAGAGCTGGTGGTGGAACCGCAGGCCCAGGTGGTCCCAAGGTTGGATCCTTAGGTAGGCTCATGATCTGCTTGTCCTTAGCTCATATTTTTTTGTGTGTATGGTTTCAACTTATTTTTCATTATTTTTTTAATATTGTATCTTTTTTTAATGTATTTAGTGCAGGATCTACAGAGTCTCACTATACAGATCAGACTCATAGTGATCCTCCTGTTTTCGGCCTCACCAGTGATGGAACCTGGTCCCTGAGTCCACCTAAGCAGGCACTTTAGTCCGTTGAGCCATCTGGCCGGCCCTTGGTTTCAATTTAAAGAATTACTTTTTAAAAAACAAACTTAGATCGTTTGTATTTTGTTTTTTCCAGCACAGCGAAAAAAGAAGACATAAAATTGAGTGTTCAAAAGTTGCTCAACAGGCATAATATTGTGTTTGGCGATTACTCATGGACGGAGTTTGATGATCCTTTTCTGACCAGAAATGTACAGTCTGTGTCTATTGTTGATACAGACCTAAAGCTTAAAGACCCTCAGGTAATTTACTGATTTGAGGTACATTGGATGACTGTTCACCGGAGCTGGTATCATGACTGTCACTGCTTGAAAAATGTGTTTATTATTTGCTTATCTGTTGGTTTGGCTGTAGACAAGTTCTGGCTCTGTGGCCCAGAGCTGGGTGCTGGCATAAGACTATCCCCAGGTGTCAGGATGCTCTGAGTGGAACAGAGGGAAGACTGGAACCTTGGAGTTGGAATGCAGCATGCAGAGCAATGGGCTGAGGGGCCGGGGAGGTGGCTCAGTGGAATAAGCACTTCCCTGGCTGGGGCAAGGGCCTGAGTTCAATCCCTGGTTCCGCAAAAAAAAAAGACAGTAATGGGCTGTGTTGTAGCGTGGCAGGAAGTATGGAGGTTAAGAGGCGAGATGGGCTCCCTCTCTGGAAGCTCTTTGTTGGGTGCCTTGTGTGCACGGACTGTATGCCCTGCCATCTTACTGAGCCCATGTGTGGAAGTTGGGGTCTTTGAGAACTGGGTGCATGGGGACCATTCTGCTCCGTCATAAGAATGACCAAAAAGGTGCCCTGAGGAAAGAGCCACACTCAGCACTGTGTGAATTATAGGGTCGCTTGCCTGTAATCCCGGCACTCAGAAGGCTGAGGCAGGAGGATTGTTATGAATTCGAGAGCAGGCTGAGCTGCTTAGCTGTCCCAGAAAGATCAAAAAACCTAGTGGGCTTGGCACTGAAGTTTTGCTTATGACATGCACTTTTCATCTTTAAAGACTGCAGCATAGTAAGAGTTGGTGCCATCATCCTTGGTTTTGGCAAACCTGAGTTGAAAGGAAAAGCCCTCCAGGTTAGCACAGTCTTACTGGGGGGCTTAGGGCTGGCCATGGAAAGTTTCAATAATTTTTTTTTTTTTTTTTTTGCGGTACCAGGGATTGAACTCAGGACCTTGTGCTTGCCAGGCAAGCACTTACTCCACTGAGCTATCTCAGCACTTACTCCACTGAGCTATCTCCCCAGCCTGATAATCTTTTGACTGTAGATTCACACAAATGTTTGTTGCGTGTTGTTAGCACCAATAATGTGAAGCATCTTGCCACCATTTACCAACCAGAGATGGGCTAAACAAATCTGATACATGTATGTTAAAGAAGATATAGCCACTAAAAGAAGCTAGGTTTCTGTCTGCTGGTGTAAGTATGTTTCCAAGCTATTAAGAGGAAAAAGGCACAGTAGAAGGCTGCATGTGTTCTCAGTCACCATCATTCTGCCAGTCTGCTTCGACACCTTAATTTTGCCATTGGATCATGGTCAAGCAGTCTATCCAACAAAAGTATTCAAATCTCTGAAATCCTGTGCTTGAAATTTTTGGACATCAATTAAAGAAACCAACTAAGTTATGTGACATCATGTGTACATAGGCCACCTGTCTATTCTGTCACATCAAGCCTCTTCCTTTGATGGCTACTTTAGTCACCCCATTGGAAACCAAATACCCTATAACTTAAAAAAATCTTTTTCAACTTGCAACCCAAGTTTGTTTTTTTCTACTGTTCCTTGTCTCTTCATGCATTAACTTCAAAGCAATCCTGACCACAATCTGGCACCTACAAAGTTCTCATAAAACATTCAGACATAGTCATTTTTCATCCTGTCAACTTAGGATCCAGTCACAGGAAAAAACAACAACAGTCATTTGAACAGAAAATAGGCGGTATATTAACTAAACCTGAAAATTCAAATAAGGATTAGCTGGTACAAAAGAATGTGTAGTAGTATCCGTGATAGCAGATATAATGTTATGTAAATTATATGTGGGAACCACTAGCTTTCAGGGAACATGGTTTGCTTCAAAGTTTGTGTGTTCAAATTTTGGTTACCTTCTTTCAGTCATGCTGGTATTTTCTGGTTCATGAGATAACAGGTAGTTTTGTACTAAGTCCTAAGTATCTGTGGCAGACCTGGTGGGTATCTGTTTCTGAGTCCCACCGGGTCCTGTTGGCAACACGTAGGCAAGAGTGGGGTGCTGACACTCACTAGATTTTGGGGACGTGTAGGGAATAAACAGGCATCACCCTGCGTGGGATTGAGCGGACCTCCGAGCAGGCTTGCTGTTGCCGAGCGAAGGGAGGAGTTGGCATCCCACATCACTGTTGCTGAGATGAGAAAAGTGGGGTACCCCTTTGGCCTGGCCCCCATCTCTTGCTGCCTTAGTGGTGTTAAGTTGGTGGGGGCTCAGTAGGCCCTGATGTTCTCCGGTAAGAGGGGGGTGGGTTTATTCTATACATAATTACATCCGTAGCTGTGAAGGCAAATTATATTTAAAAAAATGGGATCATTTTTTAGTACCAGCAAGTTATGGAGGGCTTGGAAACACCAACAGGTTGGGGATAGGTCAGATGGAGACAAGAGCCAACCCAGTTAGCTCCAAGTGGACAAAAATCTGAAATAATCATACCAATGAAAGGGATCTTTAGTGTTAGCTCATACCCCAACTGTATCTCAATCTATAGTGTTACAAGTAAGTGATTAAATTAACTAAATGGGAGCGGGAAAACAAAAGTGCCTTATAGGACATTTTCAAATTATGTAGGTCTCCTTCACAAGGTAGCACCTCACTCCCGCACCAGTCCTCAGGTGTGGACTTCACTATCCTGCTTCCAAGCAGTTAACTGTGGGAAGCGAATTTCCCAGTATCTCACAGCCTGCCTGTAACCACGTTATGAAGGCTAAAGTCATCAGTTGTGCTGTGTGTATCATGTACTGCCGATCCAAGGTAAGGAGAGGCCCTTCACCTCTGGTGCAGTCAGGATCTTGGTCTAATTTTGAGAGAAAGATAATCAACTACAAAAAAGAAATGGGAAACTACAAGGCATGCCTGACAAATATGGTCACTGGTAACTCCTTTTTAGCATATGAATCAACCATATTTTGGGGCTTTAACGTCTAATTAGCTAGAATTGAAAAGAGATATTTTGAGGTGCGTCACTTCACTTGCTTTCCCTCTTGTTGACAGCCCATCGATTTGAGTGCCTCCACCGTGGCTCTGCACATCTTCCAGCTGAATGAAGAGGGCCCCAGCAGTGAGAATCTGGAGGAGGAGACAGAAAACATAATTGCGGCAAATCACTGGGTTCTGCCTGCAGGTATGGGGCAGACAGGTTGCAGGGCCAGTGAGATGGGGCAGAGTCAGAAGGTTGTCCCCTCTTAGGTTTGCCAAGTCAGTTCACCGAGGAGGCTCTGTCTGGCGTGGCTCTAGGTTGTTTTATCTTTTATGAGAAGAAAAGTGTATTGCTGTTAGCTTCCTGTTATCATAGCAAGTACTTGGGATGATCCTGTGGTAGATGCCTTGCTTGGCTGCCTGTTGCTGCCTGCCAGTGTATCCTGACAGAACACATGGCAGAGATAGATTTGCTTCATAGCTGGGCAGGGAGGACAGCAAGGGACCCATGTCTCACTATGCCTGTGAGGCTATAGCCCATGACCTAAGACCTTCTGCTTGGCCGGCCAAGTTGGTGCCAAGTTGAGGACAAATCTTTAGCACATGGGTCTTTTGGGGACAATCCAGATCCAAATACAGCAGCTTCAGCAGGAAGTGGAGCCTTCTGTGATGAGTATCATACCCATGCAGACCCCTTAGAGGTGGTGGCCTACGGAGAGTGCGGAGCTGGCCTTATGACTGAGCTGTTCTCTGTTCTCTCCTGCCCTGTTTTGCTCTATTGTGTTTTGTTTTAAAAGTATTTTTTTTTTAACTTTATTTATTTATTTATTTTTAACATTTAGTGTGTGTGTGTATGTGTGGCCAGCTCAGCCCACCAGGGGGCGGGGCTAGCTGGCATGTGGTGCTGGGGGATTGAACCGTGGTCCCTGTGCTTTGCCAAGCTTGTTCCAAGTAGGTGCTTTAGACCACTAAGCCATCTCTCCAGCCCCTGTGTTTTGTTTTGTTTCCTTGTTTTGTGTTTTTTTGGGGGGGGCAATCCTGGAGATTAAAAGCACATAAGGCTTTTACAACAAGCTACATTCCCAGCCATGCTTTTCTTTTTTTCTTTCTTCCTTTTTTTTTTTTGGTTTTTTGAAACACAATCTTACTATCTACTGTAGGCTGGCTTTGAACTCACTGTGTAGTCCAGGCTGGCCTTGAACTTGCAGTGATCCTTTTGCCTTAGCCTCCCAAGTGCTGAGATTACCAGTGTGCCACCATGTCTAGCTTCTAGCTATAGGATACACTCAAGAATAAAGTACGGGTACACTGGATGCACTTTATTCATTTATTGGAGACTGGGTCTCCCTATGTTACTGAGGTCACTAAGCTGGGCTTGAACTTTGACCTTCCTGCTTAGGCCTTCTGCGGCACTGGAATGGGATGCCCAGGCACTGCAGTGCCCATCTCCTGCTCTCGCTCCCTGCTTCCTCGGGGGCTTTGCTGATGGCTCTAGCTGGCGGAGGCTGGGCTAATTCTGCTGTCAGGCTTCAGGTCTGCTGTCCTAACAGCTAGACTCAGCTGCCACATGGGGAGAGCTCTGTAAAGGCACAGGTCTAGGGCAGAAAATTGCGCATAAGAAGGAGGTGTAAAAAACTACTCCATGTAATTATTTGTCAAAAGTCACATGACTATCATTTATTTACACCTTTAATTTTAAGAAACATTAAAATTAGAAGAGGGACGCACAGGCTGTGTCAGAACCCCCGTTTGCCCAGTGGGTGCCGGGAGACCTGCCGTGTGAGCGTGATACTGCCTCCCTGACAGAATGGCTCTGCTTTTCTCCCTTCCTCGTAGCTGAGTTCCATGGGCTTTGGGACAGCCTCGTGTATGACGTGGAAGTCAAAGCACATGTAAGTTGCCCACGGTTCTTTTCAGTGTCCTGTTACTTGAAGGAGAATAGGTCTCATGCTTTCTGGTACCTTCAAGCCCCTTAACTCAGCAGTCTCTGGCACTTCAGTGTACCAGCAGCCCGTGTCCTGGACACGTCTGTCATGTTGCCCCAGCACACGTCTGGTCTCTGGGAAGGAAGGTGTGGGACTGGCTGGTGAAGACAGTCTTGCTGTTCTTTTAGCCTTCTGGGCTTTAGGCCACAAAGGGGGACGTAGAGGGAGAGCCACGGGCAGGCCCAGACGAGGACCTCTGTTTTTCTCCCCAGGAATGCCCTGGAGACTGCCCTCAGCCTCCTGGCTGCTCTCCCAATCCTGACCGGCACTCAGTGTGTGTGCTGTGGTGCAGCGTTCTGGAGGAAGCGCTGCTCTCTTCCTGGGAGCCCCACAATGGTAGCATTTTAAGCGAAAGCAAACATTTTGTTTCTCTTACTGTGTGATAGTAATAGCCAGCAGTCATCCTCTTGCCTCTTTAAGATGTCTTCTAAAATGAGAGCCCAGAAAATAGTCCCTGAGTGCGTGGCAGTGACGTCCCTCTGGAGTGGCCTTCTGTCCTGCCCTGTCCCTTAGGAGCAGTCCCTCTGGCATAGTCCTGGGTGTCTTCACCTGCTGTTTTTCCTCGACCAGCTCCTTGACTACGTGATGACGACCCTGCTGTTCGCAGACAAGAACGTGGACAGCAACCTCATCACCTGGAACCGTGTGGTGCTTCTGCACGGTGAGACCAAACAGGTGGCATGAAATTGAGCTTTTCCTTCTGTCTGTTTTCCTGCGAGGAGCTCCAGTGCTGTTTTCTGCAGGAGCCAGCGTTGTCTTGGAATGTGCTTTTCTGTGATGCTGATCTGCCTTACAGGCCTTGGCCCTTGATTTTCCTTTGACAGCCAGCTGATTTCTGCCCTGTGACCTTTTCTGTTAAATACCTTTACTAACTGATGGAAATCCTTTAGGTAGATTTGTGTTTTTGTGCTGTATTCCTGACCCTTCTTTAGTGGGAGTAGACTGCAAAAGCCACATTTTAAAAGAAATTTAGTCAGATTTGCTCTGAAGAAAACATGGTTGGTTTGCCTTTGTTTTCATGTCACTGAGTAGAGAAGAGACAGAGGCTGAGATCAGGAAAGTGCCCACCTTACAGCAAGGCAGGGGTTCCGGGTAATTAGCCTCTGTCGGCAGAGTGAGATTGCAGGATTGTTCCCGGCATGGCATCCTTACAACAGGGACAGGGGACAGCCAAGGAGATTTTCATTAGGGCAAAGAATTGTTTGCAATCAGGTGCACATTTCCACTTTGTTACTGCAAGTGCTTGTGGAGCGGCAGTCAGGCATGTCTGCTCTAGCAGTGCGCTCGCTTTTCCCTGTGGGGTACCTCAGCTTCCGCAAGCCCTCTGGGGTCTGACGGGGCAGGGAGTGTAGGGGAAGAGCCTGGTCTTAGCAGCTGTTCTGTGAGCTTGCCATTACTGCAGCAAGCCCTGAGAAAGTTGGCTTACCAGGACAAAGGAGTTCTTTTTTTTTTTTTTTTTTTAATTTTTATTTATTTATTTATTTATTTATTTATTGTGTGTGTGTGTGTGGCCAGCTCAGCCCACCAGAGGGCGGGGCTGGCTGGCATGTGGTGCTGGGGGATCGAACCGTGGTCCCTGTGCTTTGCTTAGCTTAGCTTGTTCTAAGTAGGTGATTTAGACCACTGAGCCATCTCACCAGCCCAAGGAGTTCTGCTGGCTTGGTCTCAGAGGTTTCAGTCCATGGCAGGTGGGTTCCACTGCTTGTGGGTTTGCGGTAGCATGGCAGAAGTGTGTAGTAGACAAGAGTCACTGTCACAGCCAAGAACCAAGAGTAACAGGAAAGAACCAGTCCCACACAGCTTCATGAGCCTGCTCCTGAAGAGCCTGCTCCTCACAGTTCACCTTGGGGGCATTGCTGACCTGCGCCGTAGCACTGCCTGTCTGACAGCACTGGGTGCCACCCATCTGCAGCTAGAGATGGGGGCACTGCAGCTTGTAGCAGCAGCTCTGATCTAGTGCTTGGCAGTGACGTCCCTCTGGAGTGGCCTTCTGTCCTGCTCTGTCTCTTAGGAGCAAGTGGTATCCTGCACTCATTCCTTATGAAGATCTCTCTGGCCTTCAAAAGGTATCTAGGTAGGTGGGTTTCGTAGAGGAATTGGGATGAGGACAGTGTCACCAGGCTGTAGAGCAGAAAACTGCTGCCTCCCCAGATGCAGAGCTGGACTGTGGGCCAGGAAGTAGTATGCTGGGAGAGGGGGCATAATACAAGAGTTCAAGTTAGGAAGAGACAGGGCTTTCTAAAGCATAGTGATAACACCTAAGAGCCTCTAAGCTCCTCACAGTATCTACTGTAAGAGCAATAGCTTCTAACGCTTCCATATTTTATATCATGGATCAGCAGCTACTGCTGTTCAGACCTTTGCGTGGCTCTTGTTACAGGTCCTCCGGGAACTGGGAAGACATCCCTGTGTAAGGCCTTAGCCCAGAAGCTGACCATCAGACTGTCCAGCAGGTAACCAGTGATGGAGACGATAGTATGGCAATGGGACTTGAGATTTGTGGAACTTTGGCTTTCGATTGCTTTGCACAACAGTGGGCTCCTTTCTACCTAGTGCGGTCTTGAGTTTGATCTCAGACTTTATAGAGCCTTGGTCTTGGCAGCCTTTGACCTCCTAGTGGTGTCCAGGTGCGCTGACGAGGGTGGCGTGTGTCGGGCGGCCCGTCCCGTGCATGACAGCCTTGGTGGTGCACTGGGCTCCACTGGACGAGGGTCGCTGGTCTCTCTTTGGACCGTCTGCCCTTCCTTGAGTTCTGAGTCTTGAGGTTTTGGTTTTCATCATTTGGGGAGGTCATTGGTGGTTACTCTTCCCCCAGTTCCCGTCCCTCCTTGTCCCCTGGGATCTGTTTACTGGCATGTGAAGCCCCCCCAGCTTGTCCCACGAGCCACTGATGAACTTTTCATTTTTATGGCATATCTGTTTCACTTTGAACAGTGTGTGTTGCTGAATCTTCAAGTTATTTTTCTGTAGTGTCTAATGTGCTTTTAATTCCATTCAGTGACATTTTTGTTTCTGGTAGGATGTTTCTCAGATTCCATTTGATTCTTTTTGTTCCTTTCTGCCTTCCTTGTATGTAAAGTCTGTGTTGAGTTGATAGTAGCTCGTTAATGTTCTGGCCTGTCGCCTGTGTCGTAGCTTTCTGTCTGTGTTTCTGCTAACTGGCTTATGTCTCTGCTTTGGGGTCACATTTTTCTGCTTCTTGGTATTCAGGGACTTTTACTTGAATGCTAAAGATGGTGGTTTGAAGTGTCTGGATGTCACGTCTTCTGCCGTCTGTGGGCCTTGTTTCTGTGCTCCACAAGCCAGGGGCTAGGGTGAGTCTTGTCTTCAGACAGAAGGGAGCCTTGCTGGGGTCCGCGTGGAGCACCTGGAAGGAGGACTCTGTTCTCTGCGTTGGCTGTGAAGCTCTTCCCAGCCTGAGACGCTCATAGTTGTACCGAACCTTGTCCAGCGCTAGGTTCTCCTGCTCACCTGCCTTTGGATTTGGCAGAGACACAGGGTCCCCTGCTGCTTTCTGGGGCGGTTTCCCCGTGTCCTTCCTTGGAGCTCTGCCCCATAGCACCCCCGCTGAGTCCGTCTTCTGAGCCGGCCTGTTACTCAGCTCAGCAGACGTGCGAGCCAGACCCCTGCACACAGCCAGTGCACTGGCTCCTCTCTGCCATGTCCCTTGCTGCTCATCGACTGGTCCTGACCAGATGCAGCTTCTGCCTTATCGTTATCTGATTTTCTCATCAGAGGCTGACGGTAAATCTAGAGCTGACAGCAGTATGGAGGGGACATCTAGATCTACTGTTATATATCTATTTATTTCTTTTCAAAAAGCCTTGTATTTTTCACATAAAGAGATGGCTTTATTTTTATCTTTATGCTTAGTAACTTGACTTTTCTTTTGACTTATCGAAATGTATCTGTTTTAAAAATCTCTAGGGGCAATTTCCTAAAACATCAGAGGAAAGACAAATACAACCTTTTTTCAATTATAAGACCCTGGAAATACATATTTAATGCTTGGAAATGGCAAAAAGAAATCTGTGTTTGTTTTTTAATGTGTTTGGTATAGGATCTCACTACACAGCTCCGACTCTCAGCAATCCTCCCGTTTTCAGCCTCCCCAGCACTAGGATTGCAGGTGTGCGCCACCATGCCCCGACTCAGTAGCCGGCTTAGCGCTCCCAGGGCCAGGGCCTGCGCTGCATGTTGTGCAGGAGATTGAACCCCGTCTCTGCGCTTGCCTGAGCAGGCACTTAATCGGTTGAGTTATCTCGCCGGCCTGAAGTCTTTGTTTTTTATCCTATTAAACAATTGATGTTTTCAGTTAATTTTGTTTAATACTCAGCCCAGTCCTTTTTTCACCGCCCCTTGGTGAATGGCAGCTGCGACCTGTCTTTGTCTTGGTTTTGAATGCAATGCCAGGGACACAGTCTTAGTGGATTCCTGCTAGGACTTGTGTCTGCTCTCGCTTGGTCCTGTTTCCTGTTTGGCTGGTCCTGGGGCTGCATGTGCAGGCCCTCACCCTCACCCTAGTGACAGCGGGCCTGCAGTGGAGTCCCCAGGTGTCAGTGGCCTTCCCTGTGCCTGTGCCCCAGGGCTCTGGTCTGCACTGTCACTTTCAGCATTTCATGGCAGGAGGAAAGAGGATGCTGAGCTGCCACAATCCCTTTATGCTTCAGCATTTTTTGTTGTTTTTTATATTGTTACTGGTGATTCTTTTTAAATATGAGAGAATTTTTACTTTTTAATTCAAACAGCTGTGGGAAAACTTTGCTATAACCTAGAACTACTATTGTCTCTTGTTAGGTTTCTCACAGTTACTGAAGGCAGCGCGTGCCAGGGTCCTTTGGGGATTGATCACGACTTACTGTTCCAGGAGTTTTCAGCAGAGGCACAGTGCCTGCCTTTGAGAACAGCCTGGGTTATCTTGTGAAGCAGTGTTCTTACCCATTTTTATCATTGTAGGTACCGGTATGGCCAGTTAGTTGAAATAAACAGCCACAGCCTCTTTTCCAAGTGGTTTTCAGAAGTAAGTGTCAAATGTTGTTATGTCTGGACTGTCAGAGAGGGAGTTGGAAAGACAGTGTTCTGTGTACGGGGTGGATGCTCTGAACACAGAAGGTTGCAGAAGTGAGTGAAATGGGAAGGTGAGGGGGCCGACTGCTCGAGAGGAGCTCTAGAGCCGACAGTGAGCAGCCAGCAGACCCCGCGTGCTTGCTCACGGGGACTGGCAACTGCAGGACCCAGCAGGGAATGTTGTACATGCCCTCTCCTCTGGAGCAGAGTACCCAAGGCATCTTGTATCACTTTGTCCCTGTGGTGAGTGTCCAGGCTGGGCATGGGCATCTGGGGACAGGAGCACCTAAAGGGGCTGCATGCCAGTGGCCGGAGGTTCTAGCTCCTGGTCGTTGGGTTCACGCAGCCAGGTGAGCATCTGGGCTGACCTCACAGACCAGCAAACCCAGGGGATTTTCTAAGGACCTTGTGGGACCCACTGGGGTACAGACCACAGTGGTACCCACAGTACTTCAGCATATGGACTGCGGGTCGGCACTGAGGAGTGTTTTATTGCAGAGTGGCAAACTGGTGACTAGGATGTTCCAGAAGATTCAAGACTTGATCGATGACAAGGACGCGCTGGTGTTCGTGCTGATCGATGAGGTGGGTACCTGCATGTAGTCAGCCTGTGACTGAAGTCTCCCTTGCTGTTGCTGCCCCTCACTCAGTCCTGCCGCTCCCTGCTTTCTGCTGCAGGACCCCTTTCCTGACACCCTGGGCACTGCTCCCACCAGCAATGCCCACTCTGTCCCTGTGGCTGCTCGTGAGGGGCCAGGCACTGATCTCTTTGACCTGTCGCTCTGCTCACAGGTAGAGAGTCTCACAGCTGCTCGTAATGCTTGCCGGTCAGGTGCAGAGCCATCGGATGCCATCCGTGTGGTCAATGCTGTCTTAACCCAAATTGACCAGATTAAAAGGTAAGGCTGTGAGGGGCAGCAACAAAATTCACTTGGCTCTGAGTATTGACCGTCTCCCTGCTGCAGTAAATTCTATAAATGTAAAATAGGACGTGGGCATAGTACACTTTACGCAGTGCAGGAATGCATAAGATAAAATATAGACCACGCTATATCAAGTGTTAGTGTCAGCACCACTAGTGTTGATCAGGGTTGACGCTGCTGTCCTCTTGCCCTGCTGGTCCAGGGCCAAGAGTACTGTGTGGTCACATTTCACATTTGCACCGTCCTGTTCTATGGGTCTGGGGCCTGCTCTCTGTATACTAGAGATGAGCGGGTTTCTCAGGGTGGTTATTGCTAACCCCAGGGATGGACAGCACAGGTAGAATCCCAGCTGCTTCTGTGTACCCTCGTGCGGCTGCTGACATGCACTCTTGTGCTATTGTGCCCAAGTCAACTTCTGCCTCCCGGGACCAGAGCATCACTCTGGAGCCAGCCTGTGCAGTGGGGGAATGGACTGGCCTGCTAAGCGATATTTTCTGCCGGCCATCGCTGTGTGTAGGGGAGAGCACCTGCAGCCTCCTGTAGAGGAGCTATGGGGGATCCCCTGCACCACACTCTCCTGCCTCACTCGCCTCCTGCCCCTCAGCCAACCTGTGCATGGCTGAGTCCTCTAACCCCACTCTCCTGGTCAGCTCCTGCCACCGTGCTCCCCCATCTCGGGGTGCCTCCCACATTCTGTCTGCAGCCTCTCCACATGCATGTCTGTCCTGTGTCCCCACTCCCATGTGGCTCAAGACTGAGTGGGTGAGTCTCTGCCACAGACCAGACATCGTGCCAGACACTCCCGAGCCACTCATTGCCCCCAGAACCGCACCTGTCTACCTCCAGCACAGTGGCGGCCTCATCATGTACTCACCCATGTCCCCATCACACTGATGCCTTTGCCACATACCTGCTTAAGCCAGAAGAGCATTGCTCTATCTTTGTCTTCCTTGTCCCATCAGTAATGATACGGGCTTAGGAGGGAGGGGGGCATGCCTGCCCCTGGGCCCTGTCCAGGTAGCTGTCCCACCGCTACTGGCCCCATGTACTCCTGGCTCCGTGTCATCTGACTGCGCTGCCCAACGGCTCTCAGGCCCAGCCCTGACCTCTGCACCCTGCCCTCTCTGCCCTGGGCCCCTGACTGCGAGTCAGTAGCGGGAGGACCTCAGCCCTGCTCTCCTGTAGAGGGACTGTCTCTCCCTGGGGGTGCTCCCTTCAGAGCTTCCTATGTACCGCAGGCCCAGGAGGACCAGGTAGTGATGTCCTCTGCATTCAGGCCACCCGGGTCTATAGAGCACCTTGTTCCCAGCCTGCTGGCTCATCTCAGCCATAGGGGACATTGGCCAGCTGAACAATGATGGTGGCTGTCTGTGGAGTTCAGAAGTGGGAGGGGATAAATCAGTGCCACAGTGTCCAGGTGAGGAGCTGTGTGATCTGCTCAGGCCAGCGTAGAGGTGGGAGCCAGGGTTGTAGTAGACTTGGGGCCCAGGACACTGCCCAAGGCCGAGGTCTGCCTCAGGATTGGAGGAGGTGAGGAAGTAAGCCAGCAGAGAGCAAGGCAAGCTTCCCGAGAGGCAGAGGAGTGGCCACAACAAGCCCCCTGGGAGAGTTGCAGCCAGGAGAGCCCCATGGGCAACACTGGGGTCAGACAGGGCCATGGAGAGCCTTGCAGCCCTTGTGGAAGGTGGCTTTGACACAGAGCACAGCCACCTGAATGAGGCAGCTGAGCCTCACTCCCCAGAGCCTTCCACAGGCCGTTCCTTCTATCCCTTTCCACAGACAGAGTGGCACATGTTAGTCCCCCAGGCTCATGGTGCCTGTGTCCTTGTCCCTCGGCCACACAGGCATTCCAATGTGGTAATTCTGACTACCTCCAACATCACGGAGAAGATCGACGTGGCCTTCGTGGACAGAGCTGACATCAAGCAGTATATTGGGCCGCCCTCAGCAGCAGCCATCTTCAAGATTTACCTCTCGTGTGTGGAGGAGCTGATGAAGGTACCTTCTCGTCTCCTGTCTGCTGGCTTTCTGATGTGTTCTTAGTTAATGGGCACAGCTTACAGTAAACTGGTTGCATTATAGAAAAGACATCTGTAACATGAGTGTTAACCATCCTAAGTTGAAAGCTGTAGTTTTATGGCATGTGACAGGTGACTCTTCATCCAAGTCATGGCCGCTTAGTACCTGTGGTTCTGGCTCAGTGTGAGCATCAGTTTTCATCAGCTGCAGGGCTGAGTGGGTTAGTGAGTGGGCTATGGTCGGCCAGCTGGGTACAGCTTGGTTCTGCGTCACCACACCCTTTCGGCCTGCACAGCCCGTGCCCTTGGCCCATGTGGCCTTACCTAGAGAGGAGACACAGTAGCAGGCTGAACCAACAGGACCATAAGCAGTATGATAAAAAACTGGGAGAGTGCAAAGTTTTTAAAAAATTGTTAGAGGGGACCAGGGCATAGCTTGGCTCAGTGGCATAAGTGCCTGCCTGGTAAGCACAAGGTCTCGAGTTCATTCCCTGGTACCACAAAAAAAAAAAAAAAAAAAAAATCATTATAGTAAAGGACATATTGCTAGGCCGGGGATTTAGCTCAATGGCACAGTGCCTTCTTGGCAAGCATGAGGCTGTGAGTTCAATTCCTGGTTTCACCCTTCTCCAAAAAAAAGGACATATATTACTGTGAATCCTTCTCAGAATATTTCCCCCCACTTCAAACACACTCACCCCGTAGCAGATGCAGAAGTCCTCCTTGGTGTCTTTAGTTGCACCATTGTCACTACCTCCATGTCCTGAATCTATTCAGCCATCTGTCTTTCTTGGTCATTTTGATGTTGGGGAAGAGCCAGGTGCACACAGTGCTGCATCTGGAAGTGAAGCAGCCGAGGGCACACGTCCTCCATGTTTTTATTTGCCACCCGGCAGCAGCTGTCCATGTATTTCTCCTCAAGACTCATGAAAGAGTGAGAGTCCATTCCAGAGCAGTGGGGGAAGTGTGTTCAAACCAAGAGGGAACATTTTGCAGGTATCAGTGGCAGTGTGTCTTTTAATGTAATAAGTGTTTCTCAACTTCATACGTTTCCACGGGCTTGAACCCCTGGTGCTGTGTTCCATGCTGCCTGGCCTAGTCACAGGTATGTGAAACATTTGCCAGATAGTTGGATTAGACCTCACTCGTAGGACTGTCTCCTGAGCGTCATAGTTCACAGGCTGTCCTCCGGCTGTAGGTTGTAGCTCTTGCTGTCTAGCTGTAGGACATAGTTTACTGGCTGTTGCCTACTGAAGGTTGTACTTCACAGGCATTCCTCCAATGTCCTGTGCCACAGGAGCCTGCCTTGTGCCCTGTATTTAGGGAGCCTGGGCAGTGAGCAGGAAAACAGGAATGAGGATTTCACCAGCAGTTGTAGTGTCATTGCCACAGACTGGCAGGGTGGGTGTGACACTGAAAGGCAGGCCTCACTGCCCTTTCCGAGGCAGGCATGGCCTAAGAGAATGTAGGACTTGCCAAAGGTGGTGGCCGGCACTGTCCTGAAGGGCATCTGGCACCTGTGGGCATGCACTAGAAGATATCCATGACCCAAGGGGTGTGCTGGGCATGACTTTTCTGCCCAGGAGCCCGGTGTCCTATGAGGAACCTGGTGGGATCAAGCCCATCTCTGTATTTTGGTGTGGCCTTTAGCCCTTGTGGTGTGGCCTGCCATCTTAAGCATGCTGATTGGTGATTTTGTGTAGTTAGCTCAGGTGAGGTGTCTTGGGACACAGGGCTGAGAGTGTAAGGTAGTTAGGTAGTTCAGGTGGTTTACTGAGTGTCAAGGCATTCAGAGGTGGTAGCTGACCTGTGGCTGGTCTTGTTGGCTGTGGGGAGTGACTGGGGGCTGGTCTTTTTAGGAGCCCATGATCTGTGCTGAGTTTCATATGGCCTATGGGGCTAGAAATGTCCCTGCAAGACACAGCAAGTGGGGGTCGCAAGGCCACCGGGAACCCAGCGTGTTGTTCATCGTGAGCCCCAAATACAAACCTGCTTAACCACCGTGGCCCTCGACAGACCACCTGTCCTGGTTCCCAGTGAGGGACATTTCACTTGGAGCTCGGTTCTGTGACTTCTTTGTGCTGCCCTGAGGTTTAGTTCAGCTGCTTGGTGCGGCATTGACACACAGACAGCTCCTCTATGATGGGAGGTGCTGGGACCCAGTTCCCCGCCTTCCATTCTGCAGACCCAGTCGCATCTTAAAAAACCCAGGATGTATCTTTGAAAGGCAGTCAAGGTCCTGAGTCCTAGCGTGGGCCCTGAGGGTTGGAATCCAGCTTGAACTGAGATAACAGACTGGACTCGATACCTCCCAGTCCTCTCAGTCATGACGTGCAGAAATTGGAGAGTGCTGCCGAGTGCCACGACAGGCTTCGGTGTCTGTTTTTGCCTCTGCAGGGAGGCAAGCAAAAACATGAGTGGACCTCCTGATAGCTGTGCACTTGAGTAGCGGCTGCCCACACTTCTGCAAGGCACATAACTCATGCCTGTCCGAGTGCTGGCCCACAAGGACTCTGCTCACCACCTGCCTCTGTCCCCAGTGCCAGATCATATACCCTCGGCAGCAGCTGCTGACCCTTCGAGAGCTGGAGATGATTGGCTTCGTTGAGAACAATGTGTCCCGGCTGAGTCTCCTCCTGAGTGAAATCTCAAGGTGCGAATGAGTCGACCTCTTGTTGTCACCAAGCAAACCCATTTGTTGGGGTTCCCTGGGGAGCCAGGGAGGGCCCTGGAGGTGAGCTCCAAAGGCAGCAAGGCATGGAGTGTGTGAGAAACGAGAGTGTCTGTGCACACAGGCCCTGTGACGTGGCCCTGGAGCAGTGGTGATGGTGGGAGGAGGGCAAATGAGCAGTGTGGCAGGACCTCACAGGACAGTGAGAGTGTGTGCAGGAGGGGGAGGCCATGGGACTGCCAGTGGTGACTATCTGAGGTGGGCTGGGTGCCGGGGTGGCCCAGAGAGCCTTGGGCTTCTGGCTAGAGCTTGAACTTCAGTCTGGAGCTGTGGAAGATCTCAGCAAAAGGAGAGCATGAAGGACACAGTGCTCCTGAGGAGACTCCAGTTGGTTAAGACAAGAACAGTCACAGTTCTGCAGAATTGGGTGGGGCCAGCATACTCCTTTGGGGACTGGCCAGCATGCCCTCACACCCTGGCCTCTGTTCCTAGGGTGGCGTGTGTTCCCGGTCCTCAGCAGTGCCCTTCAGTGTCAGGGTGTTTTAGGGACTCCTCAGCCCACCTGTAGGCTCATGTTTCACAGAAAGAACAAAGTGGTTCAGAAACACATTTTCATGTGAGTGACAACCCTGTTTCCACTCTTGCAGGAAGAGCGAGGGTCTCAGTGGCCGGGTCCTGAGGAAACTCCCATTTCTGGCTCATGCGCTCTTCGTCCAGGTGAGTCCGAATCCACAGTTGTCCTCCATCTCCACTCTGTCTGTCCACAACCTCGACCTTGCACTGATTCTAAGATGACAGGATCAGGGCTGGGGATATAGCTCAGTGGCACAGTACCTTCCTGGCCAGTGTGAGGCTGACAGCTCAATTCTTCATACCAAAAAATAAGATGACAGGCTCCTCAGGCAGGGAGCCCACTCTTGACACTGGCAGGAGCAAAGTTTGGTCTTGAGGAGACAGGAGAGGTCTGTGCCTCCATAGCACTGGCCCTTGAATGTGGACTCTGTCTCAGGCAGTGGCCTGGAGTCACTCTCCTCAGGTGGCCCTTCAGCCAGGAGGTGTTCCCCTTTCCTCTCCCAAGCAGCTGGTTACAGGGGGCCCTGTGGTCTGGCAGAACAGATATGCTGGTGTCTGAGAGAAGCAAATGCACGTGGGAACTGTTCTTTGTAATCTGAGTCACATGGTGCCTCTGGTCAGCAGGAGCCTTGTGCTCGGCGCCCGGGTGATGTAGGCCCTTGGGGAAGGTTCAAGAGTGATAGGCCTACAGCCCCAAGTCCGTTCCCAGCAGCTCCTGTTCTTGGCAGGTTGGCAGCTGACCCCAGTGCTTACCTGCCTGCTCCAGCATCTATTTCTAGCTTGTAGAAAATGGGATCACTTTTGTGTGTCCTGTGTGGCCTGAGCAGAGTCCTGGGTTTGTTCAGCCTGTATCCTGGGGTGGTCAGGCCTGGTGCTGTGTAACCAAGGATTGCTGGCTGCACTTTGCTCCTGGGATGGTTGCTGTTAGGTGGCACTGCATGGCCACCCAGTGATGACTGTGTATTCTTCCAGGCCCCCACCATCACTGTCGAGGGCTTCCTCCAGGCCCTGTCTCGGGCAGTGGACAAGCAGTTTGAAGAGAAGAAGAAGCTATCGACCTGTGACTGACCTGGCTCCTGGTTTCCGTGGCAGACTTGCAGGCAACACCACCGGCCCCCAGCTCCAAGCTGCAGATCCCTCGGCAGAACTGCAAGCCAGAGGCAGGCAGAACTGCAGGCCAGAGGCAGGCGGTGCTTGGCTGCCAGAGGGCTGTGTTTCTGTTATCTAGAATGCGTCCTGGAAGGCAAGCAGCTGGGCCTTCTCAGTGTTTCTAAAAGGACAGCACTAATTGTGCTCCTCTGTGTTTATTCCCATCCCCTTCCAGCCAGTCACACACAGGGTTTGTTTAAAATAAAGGGAATCAGTGTGTCTGTTACAGAAAGAAGAGAAACATGGTCACCCTAAATAAGCCTGTGACCACAGCATTAAAGGATGGCCTCACTCTCGACTGGAAGGAAGCAAGGAAGAAAAACCAGTCCTCATGTCCCAGAAACTGAAGAAAAAGTCTAGTTTTCCCTGGACTCGGAAACAGGCAGGTGCTTTCAGGCAGCAGTGGGTGGGGCTCAGGCGGCGCTGTGCGTCTGCCTGTGGCTCTGCTGTTTGGTGGCAGCGTTCCTGCCCAGTGCGGATCCACAGCGGCAGGAGTAAAGTAAGGGGCTTGATGATGGGTGCATTTCGCAGAATATTATGTTTTACTTTTCTCTCATGCAAAAATAAATTTCATATTAGTGCTTTGTACATGAAGTCCACTTTTTAAAGAATGTAACCTGTGGTCAGAGAACATTTTTAAGTAATTAAATCATTTTCAGACTTTTTGATTCCAGTCTCTCAAATAGGTGAATTTTACTAAAAGTCACTGAGGCTCCCTCAGCATGAGGTATACATGTGCTGCGAGAACTCTGACTTGTCTGCAGGAGCCACGCAGGGCCAGGGAGCTGAACCACCAGCTAGGGGCTGGTGAGGCACCCCGCCCCGTGTGCTGGCTGGACTAATTGATGGCTTGGCGCCATTGCAGCACTGGGAAGCTGAGCCTGGTCCTGGTGGTCACGGGAGGCTGGCTGGGTGGGGTGGGCCTGGTCCTTACCTACAGGGAAGTGGGAGAACCCAGTGCCTCCGCCTCCACTCCAGGAGTTGATTTGCATTTGTAGAGCCTGGTGGCCTGGACCCCAAGTCCTTTAAAATGGCTAGAAGGGGAGGCAGGAACCTAGAAAACATGTAGAACCCCCTTGGAGAATAAAGGCAGAAATGGGTCAAGCTGGGGACACTGCCTGGAGGTGTAGATGAGATGCAGAGGTCAGTGCACCAGGCTCCTGATGCAGATTCTAGCTCTGAGCTATGGTCATGTGGTCCCTGCCAGATACCCTAGTCAACCTTGCTGAACTGGGTCAGCCTACCCTTGTTTCCCTGAAAATAAGACCTAACTGGAAAACAATGAGCCCTGAAAACCAGAGCTGAGAATTGCCTGCCCCAATCAGCCTGCCTTTGCCTGTGGCTCTGTCTGCAATCATTTGCATAAGTTTTGTCTGGTTTTCTAGTTGTTGATGGCATTGAGGAAAATCCAGCCTCTGCTTCCCATGGCTGGTAGAAGCCCCACATGGACTCTTATTCTAGGAAGGTGGCAGTTTGTCCTGTGCCTTCCCCTGACAGTTCTCGAGTGAGCCTCCTGATGGACAGGGTGCTGGCCAGCAGCCCCAGGGCTTCTTCCTTTATGGGGTGGACTGACCTCCCATGAGCCAGGAGGACTGAAGCCTCTCCTGGACACCAGCAGAGGCTCAGTCAAGACTTTCCTGCTGGACTGGTCCACGGGCCAGCGAATGAGGCAGCACCTGTGTGAGAGCTGTCACAGGATGCCGTGACGCCAGGCCACAGCTTTCTGGATAAAGTTGCCAGACACAGCCACGAGGAGCCTGCCTGCCAGCGCTTCTGCATGGACTCAGTGGTCACTGCGTCCTTTTAAGGAGAAGCCTGCTGGAACCCAGGTTTAACCAGTCCCGGCAGCAAGTGGCCAACACCTGGGTCAGGACAGCTGGCTGGCCAGGCCCTGGTATGTTGGACATTGCAGCTGCACCTTGCTCAGCTGGGCCCTCTCTGGTGGGTGACTGGTGGCCTCCTGTGTCCTGTGGCCTGAGCATAGCCCCTGTTGGCAGGGCTGGCAGGCCAGGGTCCACAGAGGAAGCACTCAAGTCACTCACCGAGGCTGCTTCCTTGGCAGCGTTTCCCTTCGGAAGCCTTTTTGATGGGGTCATCTGCCCTGTCCCTGGCCAGTTCTCCAGGCTGTCCATTCTTGGGGCTGAGCTTGGTCTCTAGTGTCCACTCTGTTGAACCCCGGAACCAGGAGAACTGTCCTACAAGGGCCTCAAGAACTCTGCTGTCCGCTCCTTGTTGCCAAGGGACCAACTTCTCAGACCCTGACGTGGGGTCCCAAGGTGATGATTTCTGCCAAGCCAGACTAGGTTTTTTAAAACACAGCCCTTACAGGGTTATTGCATATGTACTTCTAGGGACACTCCCTCCTCATCCACGCTGCTGTGATCTTAGGCCTTGCCCCCTCATTCCTGGTGCCTCTTCCTCCTCACCACCAGGATCTGTCTTCCACCTCACTATGCAGGCTTCTGGCCCATACAGGGCCGGCCACCCCTGGCCTGCAGTCTTCTCTGGGTACTAGTGGGAGACACTCATGTCCCCAGGACGGGCCCTGTGCCGAGCCTGGCCTTAGCCTTGGGTGCTGAAGGAAGTGAGATGGCTGCTGGGGGAGGGGCTGCATCCAAGTGAGATGGGGCATGGGGGGGGGGGCACAGGACCTTCAGGGCAGGGTGGACCCCTAGTGCCCATGTGTGACCCAAGGACCAGAGCACACTGAAACGAGGGCCACCTGGGGCCTGGATACTGCCAGTCAGTGGCTGGTCTTCCCAAGCCTGTCATCCAGTGTGGTACCCTGAAAGAAGGTCTGAGAGCCCTGGTGAGGGGACCTGGAGTCGGCCCAAAGTGGGTAAGGACCTCATGTTCCCAGTTCCCTGGTGTGAAAGTGCTTAGGCCAGGTTGGGCCTGGGGTCAGAAGGTTCAACAAGAGAACCAGACATGGGGCTAGAGACTCAGGCAAGTGGGTGAGGCCCCAGCTTGTGGACATGACAGCTGACCCCTGGATGGGCCTGCTAGCCTGTGGATGTGACTGATGCATCCGTGTCAGCCCACTAGGGGGCGGCACCTTCCTGTGTGATGGGATGGACCAGGCCGTGTGGTGGCCCCAGGGTTGGAGGATTTGCTAGGCCAAGGTTGCAGTGGTTCCCACAGTGACTACACACACACACACACACACACACACACACACACACACACACACACACACTGTGGGTGTTTGCAGGGGAGAGAAAGGGAGAATCAAGGTCGAGGTTGCAGCTGCCTGGCAGACTGGGTGCTTTCTGGCCTTGTGGTGGGGTAGGGCATTCTCTGAAATTCAGGGTGGGCTGCTTGGGGTCAGGTGGCCTTGAGCTGAGGCCAACTTCCTCAGGAAGGTGATCAGCCACCCAGACTGCCCCCTAACCCCATGCTGCAGCAGGAGCTGCCACCCCCAAACACATCTCCATGTCACTGTGCAGACCCCACAGCAGCCACGGGGTGGCAAGGGGCCCAGGGAGCAGAGTCTCCTGTAGGACACCCCTCCCTGGCTGCCTCTTCTCCCACCACAGGCCACAGGGTGTGGGTGGCAGTGCAACAACAGGGCCTCCTGCAGAGTGAGAACAGCCTTAGGGAGCTGCTGAGCCCATGGCCACTCTCCAGGACTCCTGGCCAGGAGCAGCCACAGTTGTGTCCCCGCACCCTGGAGGAGTGGAAGCTGCAGCCCTCTCCACATCTCTGCCTCCTGCAGAGCCAGCTGGTGGGGAGAGAGAAGCCACCGCTCTGAGTCAAGCACTACTCCCATCTCCAAGCAGGATCTGAATGTTTCCCCTGCTTCCGCTAGGATGTGTGAGTTCAGCAGTCCAGGGCTGGGCCTGAGCCTACACTTGGGTTCAGTACCCTAACCCAGCCCTAGGGGAGGCCCTGACCTGCCTGGCCTCCAGGCCTGGGGCTGGTGCCTCTGGGACTTCCTCCCCCTTCCCACCTTTCTTTCCTTCTTTCCTCCCTCAAGGGCTCCTACAGAGGAAGGAGGCTGCCAGGGGATGCTGCAGGAGCCAAGAGCTCATTCTAGGGCATCCATCAGGACAGCCAGTGCCCCTATGCACGGCCCTCGGATCCTAAGGGTGTTGACACAGGTCTCTCCCTCCTGTGTTGCCTGTGTCACTTACTACAGAAGCCGTCCATCTCTTTCACATGAGTATCTCATTTGTGACTGGAAGCCTGTCCCTCATCACCTTGATGGAATTGAGGATAAAGCCTTTCCTCCTCCATTCCCAGAGCATCCATCATGACTGGACGACTCTTTCTGATGTCTAAGTCCCGGTGGCTGGTTCCTTTGTCAATTACCCAAGTTGTCACTTATGACCAGAGACTTTTCTGTCATGAAGTATTTGTGGCCAGAAAGTTTCTCTAAGAAACGAATCTTATTTTATGAATAAATCCTTTATTTAGTACCTAAATATACAAATTCTGATTAGAGATCTTTGCTATTAATCACCTGATGTCTCAGTAATAACAGGAACCCTTTTCTTCTCCATCTCCTGAATTATGGCTTACCACAAACACCTTTCTTCTTTATCATGTGAGTTATTTCTTATGTCTGGGAAATTCTTTACTAATCAACTGTGTTTTCATTCATAAAAACCCTCATTTCAATCATCCAAATTATTTATGACTGGGAAACTTCTTTCTGATCACCTAAGTTGTCAAATTTTTTATTTCTCTTTGAGTCATCATTTATGATTATTCTTTCTCTAATCTAACATATCATTTGTGACTAGGAAACATTTTTCATATGTATGTATATTTTGTATCTATCTATCTATCTATCTATCTATCTATCTATCTATCTATCTATCTACTATTTTATTTACTTACTTATTTGGTATAGCTTGGACTTGTAGGAATCCTCCTTTCTCAGCCTTCCCAGTGCTGGGATTAGAGGTGTGCAACTGGTTTTGATTGCTGGCTCAGTGCAGGGCCAGTATGGCATGCAGTACTGGGGATCAAAACCTGGTCTTTATGCTTGCCAGGC